CAAGTAATATTACAAAGCTACAGTCATAAAAACACCATGGTATTGGTACAGAAACAGACATGGATCAGTGGAACAGAAAAAAGGATACAGAAACAACCCCAGAACACACAGCCATCTGATATTTGACAAAGAAGCCAAAGATACACTGGAAGAAAGATGGCCTCTTTAGCAAATCATGCTGGAAAAATTGGCTATCCACATGCAGAAGACTGAAGCTATCCTCATTATCTCACCAGGCACTAAACTCCAATCAAAATGGATCAAAGATCTAAATGTTAAAACCAAAGCACATAATCTGCTAAAAGATAACATAGGCAAAACTCTTGAAGACACAGGGATAGGGGAGGCCTTTCTGAACAGAACCCCAACTGAACAAGAAATAACATCAAATGGGACCAAATCATATTTAAAAACCTTCTGCACAGCAAAGGAAACAATCAACAGAACAAAGAGGCAACCTACAGAATGGGGGGAAAAAAACTGCCAGCTATTCCTCAGAGGACTAATATCTAGAATATATAAAGAACTTGATTATATAGAACTTATATATAAAAATATATTAAACAATTAAGACTCCCCAAAATAAAAAATCCAATCAAAATGAGGCAACTGGGCTGGGGATTTAGCTCAGTGGTTTGGTGGCCTGACTTGCAAGCGCAAGGACCCGAGTTCAATCCCCGGTACCAAAAAAAAAAAAATAATAATAATGAGGCAACTAAAATGAATAGACACTTCTGAAAAGAAGTATAAATTGCCAATAAATACATGAAAAAACGTTCGACATTTCTGGCCACTATAGAAATGCAAACTAAAACAACACTGAGATTCCATCTTACTCCAAAAAGAATGGCTATCAAGAAATCAGATAATAACAAATCCTGGCAAGGCTAAGAGGAAAAAAGAACTCTTCTATGCAATTGGTGGGAATGTAAACTAATATGGTCACTGTGAAAATCAGATGGAGATTCTTCAAAAACTAACACTGGAAATTACATTTGATGTTCAAATAAGAAGGGGAACAAGGGAGGAAGGAGGGGGAAAGGAAAGAAGGGATAAGAGAAACAAAGAGACTAAAAGGGAAAAAAATGGAAACAAAGCTTTTGTAAATAAGGAGGGGAAAAGGGGTCCAAGGGAAGGGAGGGGAATGGGAAAAAAGAATCAAGATATATCATGTACAGATAAAAATTCCCTATGTTCAATGTTGTGTCATCATTATGTATATCTAAAATATACCAATGAAAGTTTTGCTTTAAACAAAAATTCCATTTGACACAGTTATTCCCCTTCTACATATTTCCCCAAAGACATCATATTACAATGACATATGCATACCCTGTTTGTGGCAGCACAACTCAGATAAATCCTGGAAGTGGTCTACAGCCATCAACAGATGAATGGATAAAGAAAATGTGGTATTTACACTTAATGGAGTACTATTCTACCATAAAGGATAAACAAGTCATATGTAAGAAAATGGATGCACCTTGAGACCATAAGGTTAAGAAAAATGAATCAGACACACAAATTTCACTATCTCATGGTTTCTCTTATATGAGAAACCCAACATATGAATAAAAGCAAAATAAAAGATAATAGGAAACGGAGACAATTTTTGGCAGATGTGAAGAGGTTCAAACAATGGAGAGGAACCTAAGGGGAAAGAACCTAAAAAGAATGTTATGTACATGTACCAACTCCCCATGATGAACGTAATCACTACATTCTGTAAATATGTACTAGTAAAAATTAAAATATGAAAAGAACATCAGTGGTACTATTTTCTCCCTTGAAGATGAATTTGATGGTAGATTTTAAAAAATACTCTGACATACTATGTTAAAGCATATGTTTTAAGAAAAACAAAACAATAATCAGATGGCTAAAATCAAGAAATTTCTAATTTAAATAAATTAGCAAACATTTTCTACATATTGCAATTTTTAAAAAGATGTTTTATATATCAAATTGTATTATTTATTTATTCATTAAGAAAAGATAATGTTTCCCAAAGTTTAACTGGATAAAATGAAGCATCTTTAAGAAGTAACCACTTAAGTTACTTAGTATCTCTATGTGAAACATCAGGAATCTGTAGTCCCTGATAGTCCACTTCACTTTAGCAACATGAAAAGGAAAATAAATAAAGGTAGAAATAGTGACAACAATGTTAACTGGTAAGATATATTTGTTATGTAATGATTCATAGTGCCAAAGGACTCAAGATTCAATATTTTCTTTACTGCTCTAGTTCTACTAAGATTAGATGGCTATTTAGGGTAAACTTGAAAGACCTTCTATTTGGAAACATAATCTGTTGGATTAAAAAAAAATTCTATGTGGAGCAGTGCTCAAAGTTTAACCTGATTTAACTTTAAAAGCATCCTCTCAAAATTTCTGATTTAAGAAAAGAAAAAAGTTTTACAGGCACTTATACTCAGAGTTCTAGTTTAATTTACAAAGATACCATATACATATTACATTGATGACACACTTTAAAAAAATACTCATAAACAATGCAGTGTAATTTTTTTTAAAGGCAGCCTGGCTTTATTAGAGCTGAGTTTCACCACTCAACACCTGTGTGACTCAAGCAAGTTATTTAACTATCTGAACTCCACTCCTTCATCTATAAAATGGAATGGGCACCATCTATCTTAATTCTCATTATGAGAATTCTGATATATCTTTGATGGACTGTAATTCATTCTATTATCTGGAAACTGAATCAGCTCCACAGCATCACCATTTAAAACATTTCTGGCAGAGCAGCTACACAGACAAGAAAAGTCAAGGCAGCTTTTTTCTTCCTCACACTTCTATTTTTCTTTTACTAAGCTAAATTCAGCTTCCCAATTACTTCTACTCCATCAATCCTACTATAATGTAAATCTTTGTAAGTAAGAGTAATTCAGTTTTCACTGGACATTAAGCTTCATGAGGCCTAAGGTAGTCTATTTCTGTTTAGTATCAAAGTCCTACCTAGAGATAAGCATATAGTAGATTGAATGACATGTTCAGTGCAGTATTTTATTGACTGACCAGTGAGATGCCCTCCAATATAAAGAGCACAGATGTGTACATTTTTGGAGGTCATCCATTAATGCTTAAGATTTAGAAGTTGATGCAGCAATCAAATTCATGCTGCATGTTCTTCAAAATCCCTTCCAACATGGTAAGTGAAAAGCAATTTTGCCATACTTTTAAAAAATTGTGATGGTACAGATTTATTCAAAGTGATAAACTTCTCAATAGGTTCCTATTCATAAAATCTTTCAGATTTAACTGAATTCCAAGTCTACATTAAAAAGAAAAACTCAAAATGATATACAACCTCAATGCCACTGACTATTCTGAAAATAACCCCCAAATTTTATTACTTGAAAGCTACCCAGAAAAACATCAGAACTGAAGTTGGGATAGATTATTAAAATCTATAACAACTTTTTCTAGTGACTTTCTTAGCAATCCAATGCTATAAATAAACTACATCTCCTAAGCACAAGAATCAATTTATAATTTAGTCACTCATATTCTAGAGCTTCAAAGTAGGTTTCAAAAAGTATGCACTATATCACAAAACCACAAAGCCAACCCAGTTCACCATCCTCTGGAAATCTATAGGAATACTGTCATATCAGTTCCCCTGCCACTCAATAGTTTTAAACTGTCACTCTGCTACCAGCCTAAAGAAAACATAATTAGTAAGGTACATCTAGCACACATATAAATCGATAATTCATTCCAAAGTCTCAATATTTCTGGATTATCTTACTTGAGATGGTGGTAAAAAGTAATGACTGAGGGGCCGGGTATTTAGCTCAGCGGTTCGGTGGCCTGCCTCGCAAGCACAAGGACCTGAGTTCGATTCCCAGTACCACACACACACACACAAACAAAAACAAAACAAACAAACAAACCAAAAAACAAAAAGTAATGACTGAGACATTAATACAAGATGGACATAAGCTTATAGTAAAGGATAGCACCCATAAGGCTCAAACATTTTGTGAGCTACAGAAAATTAACAGAAGATAGAAAGAGAAATTTAAAACTTAGCTGTTTTAAAAGAAACACTCGTGTATAACCCTTTCCGCTCCACAAGATTTCCCAGACCAAGGTGGATGAAGCCTAACCCTACAAAACTTCCTTTTCAATTTCTTCTGATAATAAAAGAAAACAAAACTCACACATTAAAACTATATAAAATTAAGCCATCAGATGAAAGAGGGCATTAAAAAATTACGATTTGCCATTAAATACTATCTACAGGGTAACTTCAAGTACTGAGTAAGAAACTCAGTCATAGAGAGTACACATGATGGACAAAGTCTATTTGCTACCTATGCTACAGAAACTACACCCAAATGGACAGATGACAATTCAAGACGTACAGAGAAGTATTCTATGTGCAGGCTTCCAACAGCTGGCAAATTCGCTGCAAAAAGTACTCCTTTGCAATAACTACTACTACTACCTCTTCCTGAAAGTTGCCACAGCGTCGGGGGGGAGCGGCTATGGCAAAACAGCACAGAGCGGGGCTATGAGAACATCCTCCACACCGTACTGTGTCCCGTAACGATTTCTCAACGTGGCCCAGGTGATGCTGCAGTCAGCGACACGGCTGCCACCCTGCATGCAGCGATCACAAGCAGGATGAGCTAAGAGTCCCAGAAGCAACTCCGAAGCAGCGACCCCGGAGGATGGGGAGGGGCCTCCTTTCCCTTATCAATACGCATCTCAGGAGCCGATTCTACCCAGGTAACCGCACCTCAGCGCCCAGGAGCTCTCGCTAAGGTTTCTAGCTCACATCCGTGCTGACAGGAATCAAAGGAAGCGCCCAGGGATTGCCTTTCTTTACCGAATGCCCTGTCCAGGATAGGAAGCAAGGGTTAGGGATAGAAATAAGCCTGAAGGCCGGCAGCAGGGCCGCCCAGGCCTGACTTGCCAGCAGCTGGGTCCCTGCCCCTGTGGACCAGCTCCATCGCCCGGCCCCCTCTCACCTGATCTTGTAACTGGGCAGGGTGTGCTTGCGCTTGATGACTTTCTTGAGCTGGTTGACGATGATGGAGGTGAGCTGGGGCATGGGCCGCCCTTCGAACTGGGAGCGCACCTCGAAGTCAATCAGCGGGTCCTCCACGAAGGAAAAGAACCAGTGGGTGAAGGGCACGCGGGTGAAGACGAAGCGCAGCCTACCCACCACTCGGGACAGCTTGACGAACAGGTAGGCAGACTTGCCAAAGACCAAGTCCACGTCGATGGCTAGGTGGAAGCCTCCGTTGTACTCCACCTCTGCCTCGAAGGCCAGCTCCTCCGGGCAGGTGGCGGGCAGCGGCTCCCCCTCGGGACCGTCGGACTCCCCGGTGGCCGAGGCCACGACGGGCCGGACGAGGTGGATGGTCTTGATGAAGGGCACCGTGTCGCCCAGGAACACGTCCCGCAAGCTCAGCCCCTCCAGCAGGCGCCCGGCCGTCTTGGTCTGCAGCAGCTCCTCGAACTCCACCTTGATCTTCTTGGTGACCCAGCGGCGGGTC